AGATTCGAAATGTGCTTTAAATTCATAAAACATCAGTAAAAGATTTAAGTTATGTATACACAACTAACTGAATTGGTTGATTCCAAGGTCACCTCGGATTAATTATTTTTCAAAAAAAAAAATAAATACTCAACATAGAATACTCTTTTCGATAAAATGCTCTTCATCAAGTTCTACCGATATGCATCCATAACAGTGAATGAATTGGTGTTGTCAACTACATTATTGATGTTTGAATAACATTGGATCAATAATATCAGTGGATTACCGCTGAATAGCATCAACGTAAAAATAAACTGGTAGTCAGAGAAATTAGGAAATATAATCTTAGAATTTCATGAATTTGTAGTCTCTACTGAAGACCAGCCAGAGCAGCAGTAGACGCGGCTGAACTTGCTTCTTTTCAATACAGAGCGCTGGTTGTTTGATGCGGATTGCAACAGACTCTACTCTTTGGAGCATGTGGTACTTCGACGATTTTGGCAATTTATTAAGCACCCAGTAGATGATAGAGAAGGATTCTTCAAGGCTGGCTTTGTGGCCAGTTTGCTTCAAATGGTCTAATATCGAACTGCTGATGCCTTTTACTATACATTCACCTATCCATACTGGAAGATGTTCTCGAGCACGAAAAATCAGGTCCATAGAGCAACGGACGGTATAACTCGCTCCACCACAAGTGCAGTTGAATTGGTAGGTATAATTGGAAGTGGCTAGCTAGTCTACGTACTTCATCTGTCAACTGAGGGATCAACATTGGTCGTGTAGAGAATAAGACGTGTAGTTCACCAGCATAAAAATCTCTTTGAACTGATTTTCTTAATTTCTGCATAATTATTTCCGCTTGGTATATCGCTCTTGAATTGCAATCGTATATAAAGAGGCTTCTTGTTTACAGATAGTGTGTAGTCCTTTTCCACCGCTCTCTTTGTCATGTGTTTCTTGATAAAGTTTTCAGGTATCATATAAAATGCTTAATTCATCTTCAATTAATTCTTCTGACCATATAGTTCTAACTCTGTGATTTAGGGTCTTTACTAAATTTCTTTTGTACTTGAGAGGAAGGAAGCTATGAAAATGTATAAACTGTCCTGTCCATGTTCATTTCCTATGCAAATTTCTTTTTAAGCTGTCATCTGGTTTTCTTGTAAGGAGGACATCCAGGAAGGCAATTCCGTCTTGAGATTCCTTTTCACATGTGAATTTCATAGCCAAATGTACTTCATTGAATTCGGTTATTATTGTACTCCTATCCCGATCATTATCACAAAGAATGACGGTGTCAGCCATGAACCGGCAGAAAAATGAGAATCTCCTGATAAGGTGGTTGTTCAAAGATTCATTTTTTAGCTTACTTAGGAGGAAATCAGCCAAAATGGGCCAGAATGGGGTGCCCATTCCAATCCCGTCTACTTGCTTGCAAAGCGTGCGGTCAAATTTGAAATTTACACCCACGGTACACCCATTTATCTTATCCTGTATCACGAGAACAACTACGGTATCACCTAAGTGCTTGAAAAAATGCAAGAGTCATAGAGAGCTGAAAAAATAATTTAGTAGAAGACTACATGGTCGTTACTATGGTAATAGAGGTGGTTATATAATTCTCTTTTTTATCCAAAACTCTGGTCTCTCTATCTAAATAGTCGGACCTTCAGAAATGCAAAGGAGACAAAAGCGAACTGTTGTTGGTAGGTTTTTCTTCACTTGATGGATTTGTCTGAAGGAAATATTTGTTGAGACAGATTGACCATTGTTGAAAAGACGTTCAAATATTGCACTTCTAATAGAGCCACTAAAACCTTTCTACAACCATGCAAGACAGTATTCTTGGACCATTTTATACACAACATGCATCAAATGACATGTCCACCCAACTATTGAGAAACGGGTGAACTGATATATATATACACATAGAAGGGATTAGATGCCATATCTAACCATTCACGCATCTCCTTATCAGTGGACTACTAGAGGACTCTACCCTTAGGGTTGTCGAAAAGAATATCTTCGATTATGTGTTTCTTTTGATCATTCCTCGTCTTCCCACGTTATGTTAACTTCGTGAAAGTTATTTTGTACTGGGAAGTTAAGACTGTCTGCCATCACTCAGCCTGTACTTTTACAGTTTGTTAATTCTTATATCCTAGTATTCTTCTGCACTACTTCCCCTTTATCTTTCTTGAGCTACTTCAGAAAGACTTTAGTACACTGCGAAAGTCTCTGAAAGCTGTCAGTAGGATGAGTGGGGTGTCACTAAACAAACTCTTTAATACTACTGTAGGTAGACACAAGGACTCCTTCAAGAAATAAACGAATATTATCTTGTCAGGCCTTGAGTATCCTCTTTTTACTTAACTCTCTCTTTGCATGGGACTACAAACAGCTATAGGAGACTTTGTGTCCAGACGATAAAGTAAAAATTCCCTGCGATACTTTAATTGGTAGGCAAACATTTTATGTAATGAGAAAAGTGTAAAGCATGAAATGAATAACTCAGTGAGGAACGCTGAGTAAACGGTTATTTTTATTCTTTGTTTAATCAATGTATTGCTGTTAGTATTTCCACTTAAATTTTAATTTTACAACCTTAAACGCCTTGTTTAATTATTTCCCACAAACTATGCATTACATTCTGTAAATTCCAAATTGTATCAAAAAATACTCTCTTTGATATAATGCCATTAGTATTCCTATGGAGAGGACTACTCACGTTTCTGTCATCTCCTTTCTGGTAGTACAACATTGAGGCAGAAGATGGTAAACTTCTCGTTAGTTTATCTTTCATTACAGTTTGATGAGAATGATTTCAATTCATAGGGAATTCCCATTGTAATATATAGAAAAACAAAACAAGAGAAGAGACTCTCACCAACAACGAATTTATTTTCAAGCTGTACAGTCGTATATACACATGAGGATTTTAGGAAGTTATATCCAGTGAAGGAATTGATTCATATGCTTTACATGCAAATATATTAAAGACAACAACAAGCTGAATATAGGTATACCCACCGCAGATTTGAAAGAACTACTCCTGAGATGTTCGTTGAAGCAATCTACAGACAGAAGGACGGTATTACAATGGGTTCTCTATTAAGTCCTCTCCTTGAATCTGGCTTTATGACTAGTCTAGAGAAAGGTGGTCAATTGAAGTCAACAATTCAAAGCTTTAAAATGTATAAAAGGTATGTAGATGACACCTTTATTATTTGTAATAGTGATTGTAACATCAATAATATATTAAATGTATTTAATGGTTGCCATCCAACGATAAAATTCACACTTGAAATAGAAAAGGAGTCTAGTATTCATCTCCTCGATGTGAACTTATCAAGGAGGACCGATGGAAATCTGAAGAGATCGATTTATTGAAAGCTGTCATGAAATGGTCAACTGACAAATTTCTACAGCTGGATACTGATTGGTCGAAAGCGAAACGTGGTCCGTTCGCTTACCACTCGCATTGGGTGCATATGTAGCCCTTATACTGTGGACGATAAGTTAAATCTTTTGAGGAAGGTCCTAATAGAAAATGGATTCCAACCACGTTTTATAGACAGGAATATGCATTCAAATCCTATGAAATGTGACTTATCATCCGTACCTAAGAAAATACTGTACATGAGCTTGGAATTCAAAGGTAACTTAGCTTCCCTGAAAAGAACATTCCTTGCTGCATCTTTGAGAATACCATTTACCAGTCGACTATTACTATTCAGTAACTTGGAGGACAAGATCCCGCTGTTGACCAATTCTGTGTACGTTTATCAATTCGCCTGCTCGTATGGAGTTAGGTATATTGGTCGTTTGGACTCGAGTTTTGTCCAGCAGCGTGCAAGAACACTATCCTGCATGGTTACGAAGAATTGAAAGTCGAACAATAAGAAGCACGATCACTGAACATCTGGTCTAGAGTGGTCACTCTATCTCTATAGCCTCCGCTTTTAAAGTCATCTACAATGCAAAAAGTAATTTTTAGAAATCACTACGTACCGATTCATTTGTATTTATGAAGCTTCATCTATCAAAACAGTAAAGCCACATCTCTGTATACAGAAAAATTTCGCTCAACCCTCCCTTCCATCTTTCATGGTCTTAATCCCTTTATGCAAAAGTATGGTAATCCCTACCAATTTTTCATTTTTATTTTATTTTTGATTTTTATTTTTGATTTACAGCTTGATTCCACACCGTATTTTTGGTACGTATGGAATTTTCAGCATGGATATCGTAGCCAAGTTTTGCAGGCCGACCATAGATATCAGGTGTGCGCCGGCGTTGGCTCGAACCCCGGACCATGTGCATGGTCGGCGAGAGTCCTAACCACTGTGCCACCGACGCACAATTTGTATACTCTTCCTTTATTGCGTCGATTGTTACTATTACTATTCGCACTTTGAACTGTCCCTGGTATTATTTCACTTGTTCCACTTGTCATTCTAAATCAATCCTTCATTCTGCAACGTTAAATGCTATATGTATTATGTAACTGTCAGTTGGGTTGTCTAGAGAAAGACAGACACCTGTTAACCAATCAAAAAACACCAACAAACAATGAACTTACACAAGGTGATAGGTAAACAGACACACGAATAATGTGTGAATTTTTAACCAATCACAGCTTTCCTACACTTTGTTTATGATTCATCTACTTATTTAACCGCAATTTTTTAAAAAGGAATCGGTAACACTTTCACAATCTTTCAAAAATGTTCGCTTATAAAGTCTAATATCATAAACATAAATTGAATAATAAATAACTTTCCAAATCACCTCAAAAGAATGTCTTCAAATCTTTCCAATCTACACGTATCGAATGAAATTAAATTCCCGCCTAGTGAAGAATGTTCAATCCACGTGAAAAATATGGAACATGCAGTTGGATTTCTACGTGGTTATATTAGCCCAATTATTGTTCTCTTTGGTGTATTTGGAAATATGTCAGCATTTTATTTATTTTAACGCATAAACCATTTAATCGTTTTTCAATTTATGTTATGATGCTGGCTATCTCAGATAGTCTTGTCCTCATATCCAATACCTTTTTGGATGATTTCCTCGGACGTGGATTATACTATCTAACAAATGAAAGAATTATGATCAAACTAGACACTTATTCATTAACCTCATGTCGTATTATGGAATTAATCGGTTGTTGGTTTGTATTCAATTCTGGTTGTCTTCTTGTGGCATTTAGTATCGATAGAGTGAATTGTTTATTTTGGCCGTTAAGATGTCGATCCGATGGTGGAATTGGTATAGCAACACTGGCGTGTAGTTTCATTATTGTTATTGGGTTTATCTGAGTATTCCATATGCTATGCTACAGAAATTAACTGATAAAACTTCTTCGTCCTCATCATCATCAATGAATACAACGATAAATACTACTTTTTATACGAATATTAGTAGTAGTACAGGTAATATTACTACAAATAATAATAATGAGATGCAAATGTATCATTTTTATGCATTTAATTGTTCAAATTGTACTATTCATCATATCGAAATGCCAATGATAACTGAAAGTAAGTCTTTATACGAGTTTTTTTTAATTGCTTGTATAATTTATTGATTCAATAATTTCAGAGATATTTGGTCCCCTAGATTATTTCCCTATTGATCATTGTTTTTTTTCCCATGAGTTCAGAGGTGAGAATAGGGCTTCACTGCTTTATCTTCATTTCACTGTCTTTTTTCACAGCTAATTTTTACCTGGCTTATCGATTTTCTAACAAACATTCATTCCCCGCTCACATAATCTCCTCTATGTCATTGTTCTGGTTTCTCAGCCCCACATATTTGTTGGTTCTTTGACAGAGTTCTGTGTTTAAATGACTTTCAGATTTTCCCGTCGATTAATCGGATCGAAGTGCTCGGTCTCAGGTTGACATGTCTGTCGACTTCTTGTGCAGATGATTCGACGATGTCTAGGCATTTAATTAGAAGTTAATTGGTGGATGTTGGGTGACTAACAGTGGAATCCAGCGAGGATACGCATTTTGTCCTATTTGGGACTCGTCAACTAGCTGGATGTACCTGCATATCCCAGTGAGTGATGATGATGTTACCAACACTGAGGCTCGTACCCAGTGCCCATAGTTTCAAATACCAGCCAAAGCGTTATCTACTAGACTAGCTGACGAGTCCCAAATAGGATAAAATGCGCGTTATCCTGGATTCAATTGCTTGTCAACATCCACCAATTAAATTCTAGAGTTTTGTGTAGCCTATTTTTCTTCAAATTGGTGAAGTGAGTTTTGATGGGGAGCAAAGGCAGCTGTTAATGAAAATGCGAAGTAGACTGTTGGAAATGCATTTTGTGACGAAAGCTCCAAATCACTAAATCACATCGAATCATTGTCTGACTTGAAATCAGTGTTGGAAATCTGCTGTCTGTTCCTTATACTGATCGCGAAGGTCTATGTTGCTAACCAGGGCGATCAAGAAAACTTTCTACTCTGCACGTCTGTGTCTATCATTCCTTAGCTGTCCAATGTTCACCCAGCATCTCAAAGATGTCTTACCTAACCTTAGCTCTTCTTCAACTATATACCATTTCAACTGTTCCTATGGTTGAAGTTATATAGGGTGCACGATTAGGCAGGTTCGTCTACGGGTTCGAGAACATTTACTAGCTTGGTTCAGCAGGGGGAAATTAAGTGCATAAAAAGCTCGATCCTGTCACACTTGGTCTATACTGTACATCGCATTGATGTCAATACAGCCTTCAGCGTTATATACCGAATTCCGAAGTCGTTATCACCTACAGTTCGCTTACGTCTCCTACACATAGCTGATGAAGCTCTTGCAATAAGATCGAATGAACCGAAACTTTGTATCCAAAAAGAACACATCCATACGCTAATATATTTGTAAATAATAAATAATACATCCATACGCTGTTCCTACCTTGGCTAAACTTGGATTGATGATTCTTATTCTAACCAAGAGTGTTCCTTCCCCTGAACCGGTTTAGCTTTTTCTTTCTTTGCCTATTATTACAATTATTATTCATCATAATTTATATCCTTAATTCAAACATTCTGTCAATACTATCGGATTTTTCATTTATGCTGTCAGGATTTATTATTAGTGATATCATCTCTTTTCTCAATATATGCCTCCACCTGTTTCATTCACACATTTGTTATTTCATTATGAACCACCTCTCATTGCAGTCTTACTATCTCCTGTTTATTACAGACCACTACTGTACTAGCCACTCCACTCACCTGACACCTTTTATAACCTTGAACTGATTTGTCAGTTTTCCTACCCCACATTCTACAAATCTATGATGACTAATCACCACCATTTTACAATATTTTGTAATCGATTTTAGCCTAGCACGTTTGTCGCACAAATACGACTAGTAATTTTGACACCCTGTTATTCTGCGTTAATTAAATTTATCTGCCGACCAACTGGCTATCATTATTGTAATGATAATAAATATTCTATTTTCTAATTGTAAAAACCTGAATAGGAGAAATTATTGAAAAGAATATTCTTCGTTCAGATTTGACTTTTAATTCATGAGATATGTAAATATTTTTAATAAATAATTAATTAAATAATTTCAGAGATATTTGGTCCCCAAGATTATTTCCTATAGATCATTATTTTTCCCCTTGAGTTCTTCTGTGCATCGGTGGCACAGCGATTATGACACTCGCCGATCATGCACATGGTCCGGGGTTCGATCCCCTACCGAAGCACACCTGATATCTATGGCCGGCTTGCAAAATTTGGGCTACTGATTTGACATGCTGAAAATTCCATACCTGTACTCAAAATACGGTGTGGCATCAAGATGTAATCAAAAAAATTTCACTTTCTTAATTCAATGTTGCCTGGATTTGACATCCCCATCTGAACTGCTGCTTGTAGTTATAACGATGCCATGCAGTTGCGCAAGTGGAAGAGGTTTTCTTAGTAAAATTTCGATAAAACAGCAGAAGTCCGAATTCACGCAGTATAAAATGATATCATTGCTTCTTATTTCACAGGTTCCATCTAATCAGCTGTAGACAACTACTTAACATTCTTCTTATTCCTTTACGCTCCCAGTGGTTACAGGGGGCTTCAAACTGAAGGCTTGAAGTTTCTGTAGCAGTGATGATTATTTTTACAGGATGGGGTTGCTAGCCTCATACTCAACTTTCCCTTTTTACAAGTCTTACTGCTAGTTTATGGAAGTTAAGGAGCGAGTCGGCAGGGTTTCGAGCCCCGGATCACCTGCGTGGTCGACGAGCACTCTACCGCTGTGCCGCCAACGCACACTTGAAATTAAAAATGGTAATACTAAGGAATGAAATTAGCACTCTTCAATGTTGAAGTGCTAACAGACGACATCTTATAAATTCAGATCTACAGGGCGTAAGCATCACAATTATATAAGTTATCACCAAATTCACAGGCATTTCGAGGGGTAGGAGAATGCAAAAGGCGGAGAAATTAATAAACAATATTAACTCACAAAATTCTATGGTTCGGTTCATAAGACTGAGTTGGGCTCAGTAATATGGGTGATTACGCAATCAGTATAATCAAAATCAAAATATGGTCACCAAAGGAGTAAGAGATTGACCATCTACTGTTTCTGTATGCAAAAGTTTGATTGAAAAATGTTTAATTACAATCGTTTCAGTAAATCGTTGTAAATTTATTGTCCTTTGTATATTTACTATTTCGAATGATTTGAAAATCTCAACAAAATGCCCCGTATCCATAAGATGTCTGATAATTACACTTTGTGAATGACTACTTCTCTTTTGGCGTATGAATCCCTTGGAAAATGCTCAGAAAACTTGATAGAAGACCTATTTTCTTTCCTCCCACTGTACAGGCTACCACAAGCGCATTTAAATCTAGGAACATTGAAGAATGTCACTTTTATTCGTCTATAACTACTGAAAATTCAGGTGTTGGTCTCATCTTGACGCCCTTAACTTACCATTTGGGCCTTCTATGTCAGGATGAAGAACAGGTCCATCCATAGCATTGGATTGTGGTAACATTGTATCGAGAAATGGTTAAGGTTTGAATTAATATGTTTTTATATTTCAGTTAAGTGGGGCAGTAAATAGCCGGCTAATCCTGCCACCTTCGTTCATTCCCTCTTAAGAAGAGATTGATGAACGCTTCTGCAGAGTGTTAGTCTAGGACGACACATCTTTGCCGAGCTTTATGGTTTTCAGTAATCCTCTTCCAGCTGATACCGGGTTTTTGAACAAGTTTACAGTGAAACGTGTAGAGGCCGTATTATAAATAATAGTAACGTCATGTGACAGTCCCACTGTAACGTCTTTTCATGTTGACAGACAACTTTTCATGACTGACCTTCTGTCTACAAGGAAAACAGTTAGCTGTTGTTCAAAGAAGTACATCTATTGCGAATTGACAAACGTTAGAGTGATTACATATCATTAAAATTCTAACCCAGTGTCTGATTGTTTAAACAATTTGGATTGTTTACGTGAAATTCATAATTATAGTCTTTGTTTTGATCATGAGTGTATGCACAATTGAGGAGTTCCTAACTTGGATGAAACACCTGTCCAATGTACCACTGTTAGTTTTAAGGGATTTTCTACACTTGAAAAGTGTATGAACCACATGTCAGTGATATGGTCATGTGACAGTACCACTGTGAAAGTCATTCAAGTTTAAAAATAACTTTTTGTGATTGACATTCCGCCTAGAAAAGACAACAATAAACCCTTGGTTCAAAACACTCTTTTATAATGAAAAAGGCTTATTAAAGGAAATATATACCCAATGAAGGTAATTATATGCCATTGTTTTCCTGTGTAACAGCTGTCTTCTATTGACAAAATCCTTATCACAGACCGTATGATAACGCAGCCATTCTATCACTAGTAAATCAGTAGAATGATAGACATGTGACGCCTTAGAATAATCGGGAAATGTCATCAGGGTGAACATGCGCCAGTGGTATAGCGGTTAGGACCCTCGCCGACTATGCACATGGTCTGGAGTTCGATCCCCGGAACGGGGGAACGTGAAGGAAAAACAATCAGGGTGAACATAAATCATGAAAATATTATGACTCAAACAACTGTTGATAGCCAATAGACCATATTTAAAGTCTTCTCAACGATACTCACCTGCAACGTTGAATTACTTTGAGTGCTCCTGCCCTGGCTAGGGTTTAACTCAGAGTTCTGAGACTTATGAAGTCTGATGATTGATGATTTAATAAAGGTTGTATAACATAAAATACTTTGGTAGTCGAATGAAAGAATGGTTACCAACCATGCACGTGATCTAGGGTCGATCCCCGGCATACCTACTTCTGAGTCTCGCCTAGCTTGCAGTGAGCCTGAATGTCTTATACAAGTTCTTTTTTATAAACAATAAGTTGTATTTATACTGGCTGTTTGAATAATCTTAGTAGAAGACGGAGATTATCTGAAAAATGTGGTGCGATGTATTTGCGCCATCCACGTTACGAACAACAATCTGATCCGCCACACATTTACTTGTCAAGTCAATTTACATAAAAAATGGACTCCATATTAGTTTGTTTATTAGATGTATCACACAGTCAGTGAAACAGTAATTTTATTTACTGGATGAAGAGGTTTTGAACACAATATGTTGTCCATAATTAAAGAATCAATTATAATCACACGACTTCAAAACAGATGTTGAATCATTCCTACTAAACGTGTTTGCAGTTGATTCGATAAACAAATCTTCGGTTTCGAAGTCGTGTGTTTATAATTGATATGATTAATTACAATAACAAGGCAGGAATAAAAGTGGCTGTCATTTAGACCACCCACAAACTCAATTAGAAACAAACTTTGTCTGTTAAAGGATCCTGTCTGTGGAGCCTTTAAAAAAAACAATTTAGTTTACCTAATACCCTGCTGCTTTCATTGTCAGGTCAAATACATAGGTCAAACTAGTAGAGCAGGGGCAGTCAGACTAGCCGAGCAGCACAAATACCTAGCAACATCTAGACTGGTTGACCCGAGTAAGATAAGAAATCTAGAAAATAGTTCAGCTTTACCACTCACTGCATGCAGTTACACACAACCATACAATAAGATGGATGGGATAGGATGACAGTTTTAAAATCTAATGTCACAGGGTGAATGGAGGGAGAGATTGATAACAGAAGCTTTGTTTGTCGAATCAGCTGCAAATACATGTAACAGGGATGATTCAACACCTATCCAACTGGACATTTGGAAAATTCTACTACCCCAACGACGACAAATAGGAGAGAATAAAGAAAACTATAAAACTCAACTTTCGAAGTTGTGTGATTATAATTGATATGTTCGAAAACTTGTCATCCAGTAAATAATACTGTGTGTTACCCCTAATATACAAACTAGTGTGGAATTACTTACGACTACACTGCTCAAGTTTTACACAAATATTAATAAAAAATGAACGCAAATTAAAATACACACAGTCACAAACACGATTTAAGTATAATGAGAATAATTAACACTATGTTTGGTTACATAATCAAATGAGGATTACCAAGGTAGACTAGAAGTAATAGCAAAATTATTTTTGTACACACTGGAAGGAGGGGGGCAATGAGGCCTAAGTTAACGAATAGCTACAGTCCTGGCATATTTCAATTACCGCTCTTGGACATTTTGATAGATGACTTCAGAAGCTGTATTGACATCAGTCTTGTGGAACATATCGATTAAAACTTTGGCTGTGGATGAAGTTGGTAGTCTACCACCTGAGTCTATTGATTCTCCAAAGTTCACCTGTCTTCCTAATCATTTCGATATATGCTCACCCACCCTCCTTATGTATGTGTGTCCACACACATACACACACAAATAAATTGGTAAGTAGTGTGGGATGTGTCAAAATCACTTATACACTCTTGAGGTTTGTATTGGAACTTATTTTTGACTTTCTCAATGATTATATGCTGATCTGCATAACAGGCTGTGTGGATGACCCAGTTTAATCTCTGTCTTAAAGTGTTACTATTTCGTTCCCTAGTGTACAGTAATTTGATGAAGACATCTTTGTCAGGGAAGGAATAGATTATAGGTTTCAAAACTAACTGACTTTTACTTCGGTTTAAGACTTTTTAAAGAATATCCTTTTTCAAATACTTTGAGTCTTCTTTAATAACCGGTTCACCAAGCCTCTCTTATACTGTAATGGATAGAAGTTGTGTAAATAGGCTTTCTATAAATCGATCTCTTTATTGAACCATTATCTCTTCGACTCAGAAGTATGTCTAAAAATGCTAGATGTTTGCGACTTTCTTCCTTGCATATAAGACTTAGATGATTCCGTACAGAGTTAAGTCTATCTAGTAGACGACTTGCACCTTCATGATCGTCGCATATCAAAATAATATCATCTACATATCTCCTATAGAGGGACAGTTTAGAAATTAAATCAAGGGACAAGTTCTTAACATAAGACATGTAAACGTCCGCCAACAAAGGTTCTCATCGACTCCCCATATCAACACCATCCACTTGTCCAAAGTGCTGATCTTCAAACGTGAAATGGACGTTGTCAGTACATAATAATAATAATAATAATAAATCTTTCAAATAAGTTAAAGGGTAAGGGAATGAAAAAAATTAGAAGATATATGTAGCCACAAAGAATATCAACCGTCTTAACCAATGGTACATTGGTAAACAAAGAATTTTCAAGTGTTGGTTTTGTAGGGATTTGGGAAGCCGTGACCAGTAGGGTACAGCAGGTCGAAGATGAGGCAGTAACTCATCGAAGAAGACATTGCGAAGTGGTCGCGCTATGTCGTGAATTGGCAGAAGTTAGAATTCAAGAACCATTGGATCGGGTCCCAGTGGCTCAATGGTCTACGAGCTCACCTTGTAACCAGAAGGTCCTGGGTTCGAATCCCGGTGGGTGCGTACTGCTGAGGAGTCTCAAACTAGGACGAAACGGCTGTCCAGTACTCCCAGGTTTTCCAGTGGTTCTCTAACTGATGTCAGCTCATGTTTAAATCCTCCATGCAATCAAACAAAGAATTAACATCAAACGAATACATTTTCCTGTCTTTTTTGTTCATATCTATAAAACAGTCAACAAGTTCAAATGTATCTTTCAAAGTAAACTTATATAATTCATTGCGTACTGGACTTAAAAGATTAGCTAACCATTTTGCTGGTGTATGTGTAGGAGAGTCACAAATTCATAAAGCTGGATATATGGAATTGTCAAGCTTAGGAATCTTAGGTTATCCATAAAGGTTTTGCATGCATTGTCGTTCATCAATAACTCTCATGCCATGAAGTCCTACTAAATGGGATGTTATTTTTCCTTCCAATTTTATGATAACATCAGAAGGGAAATCGGTTACGACACTGACGCTTCTTCTATCTGTTTTTATTTCATTATTTAAGTATTTTCTTGTACTACTTTGTGATAATGCTCGGTTTTCTGGACACTTAACTATGCCTGCGTTAACAGACAACGGATGACCTGAATGAAGCGTTGGTATCAAATAACTAACTATCCTATAAAATTCATTAGGAAGATCAGAAAAGGTCAAAAGCAAAATTTTAAAAAATGGGGAAACTAATAATTTTCAAGTATTGGTTTTGTAGGGATTTTGTTTGATTGCATGGAGGATTTAATCATGAGCTGACATCAGTTAGAGAACCACTGGAAAACCTGGGACTACTGGACAGCTGTTTCGTCCTAGTTTGGGACTCCTCAGCAGTACGCACCCACCAGGATTCGAACCCAGGACCTTCTGGTTACAAGGCGAGCTCGTAGACCATTGAACCACTGGCCCTATTCAGGCAGTTAACCTGGGGTTCTAGTGAAAAGCCGTGACCAGTAGGGTACAGGAGGTTGAAGATGAGGCAGTAACTCATCGAAGAAGACATTGCGAAGTGGTCGCGCTATGTCGTGAATTGGCAGAAGTTAGAATTCAAGAACCATTGGATCGGGTCCCAGTGGCTCAATGGTCTACGAGCTCGCCTTGTAACCAGAAGGTCCTGGGTTCGAATCCCGGTGGGAAACTAATAATGACAACATAAATAAGAGAGAATATAAGGCATCTACAGTGGTTATGCCATATAAGGAGGGGACATCTGAGACCCTCTCTACGTAGGACTCTCAATAAAGCAAGAATTGAGGTAGTGATATTCAAACCTACAAACTCATTCAGAGACAAGCTCTGTAGGTTGATTCAGTTAAACAAAATAATATAATTTACAAAATACCTTGCAGTGTCTGTGAGTTAAGTCAACTAATTACATAGGTGAAACTAGTAGATCGGGAGTAGTCAGACTGTCAAAATATAAGAATTTAGCTAAAGTAAGAATGGTTGACCCCACCCACAAAGCTAATTAATTTAGAAAAAATCTCAGCACTACATTGCCCTGAATTCATTAACATACAACGATACAATAAGGTAGGAAGGAGAGGATTAAAATCCTAAAAAGGAATCTAGATAAGTGGAGAGAGAGAGAATGAGAGATTGGTTACTGAATCCTGGCTCATCGAGTCTACATCCACCCAACACATGC